GTCTATATTTCTGAAATGAGGTATTGTAACTATTTACATTGTTTGGACTGTTGTCTTCATCTTTATTGTCATATTTACAAAGTTTTAGCCATTGTATGCTCCAGCCTTCTTCAGGTGATATGTTGGAATTTTGAACCAAACCCTTTATGGCCCAGTGGATAAAAGCATTATCCAGTGACTTTACCCAAAGAGTTATGAGTTCAATACCTGGCCACAGTAGAGATCAACAAAAACTTGGAGTTGAGTTACTAAAAGGAAATAACTGAAACTGAGATATCCAGAAAAGGGCATGGTATGTGGAACTAGAACAATTTACTTCTGTAGACTAAATAAAGCTATCAGTTTGAAATTCCAGCATATATCACCTGAAGACGGTTGGAGCATACAACAGCTGAAACATTGTGAATATGACAATAAGATGAGGACAACAGTCTGAACAGTGTAAATATTTCTCCATTACTTTTTAAAAATATGTGGGCTGATTCAAAACCTTCAACTCTCTATAAACTAATAGGATGTAGCCAACAGAATCTTGCCTACCATTCTGAAAGCACATTGTTCTTGATAATGACTTAGATGGTCGAAAATACTTGTGCAAAAACATCAGAACAAACATGAACTTTGAACAGTTTATCCAAAATTTGATCCCAATAGACAACATTTTATTAAAAAATTCTTAAAATAAAATAAAAAAATGAAACCACCTCTGTTGGTTGAATACTGCCCAAATCTACCTTATATATAAATCTGTAATGATTTTAAAAACCAGTTAGACTCTTTCTATAGGACTTGGCAGCAGAAAATGTTATTGAAGTAAAATTTCTCTCTATCTATAGAAACCGACTGAAGCTGAAAAATACATTTTTCAGGTTTGATGTGGAATATCATGGTGTACTTTCTTTAGTTTAATTTTTTCTTATTCTAGCCAAATAAAATAAAAATAAGTACATAACAGCAACTCTTTCCACATATAAAATTGTCTCCCTTCCTCATTGTTAATGCATGATTAGAAATATTTAAGCAGTAAAAATGATGACCCACTTCTTCTTCACATTGGTAAGATCAATTTACTCCATCATGTTTTTATTTATTTTTTTTAAATATTCTGGCTTGCTAAATTTGTTTGAGAAAATATGAAACGTGTATCAAGGTATGTCTTTAACAGAATAAGTCAGGCTTTAATGGCATGAAACTTATTTTAACATGCATGCATAGAATTGATAATATGTGCCATAATTGTTGATGCCCGGAAATCATGTGGCTTATTATTAAAGCATTCTCATTGTTTCACTCGGGCTAAGTCTTCACTGCTTTTTTTGTTTGGTTTAAGTCAACAGGGGAAACAACTCCGCAATAAGATTCTTAGAAATGAGTTATCTCCCGTTCCTGTTTTTAATATAAAAGAAACTTTTCGCTTGATTTGCCTGTCGATTTTTATTTTTCGAGCATTTTAATTGTAGTGCACTAATATAATTTGCACAACGATATTCCGTTGTTGCTGTGGTTGAGTAGCAAACACAGAAATTGAATGAATTTCTTAGTCTATTAAATTTATTTTTATTTTGTTTCTGTTAGTATTACTGTAAATTAACCATTAGTACTAATTCTAATATCTTATCACTTATTTAGTTCTAACTGCATCTACTTACCAAACTTTATCAAAGAATAAAAGCTATATTTTTATGTACCCCAGCACCTCAGTCTAACAATGATTTCAGTGCTGAAGAATGCAACACAATATAATAAGTCACAACCAAGTATTATCATTGTAAATACATCATAATATTAAGTTACACCAGTCAATATTACTAAGAATATAAATAGTATGTTAGTTTAACACAGCATGATAACACCCAAATAACAAAAATGCAAACCTAAAACACTACGAAATAAAGTAGCTTAGCTGTAAAAGAAAATATTACTGTATATAAAAAGCAAGAGAGCAGAACATGAAGCAGATTAATGTGAGATGTTTGTTGAGACATATTTAGATATGGTGGATTAGTTGGGAAGTTTGATGATACTTTGTTGAAATAATTCCTTTTACAGTGATGGTGGTTGCAAATAACAGCAATAATAATCACAATACTAACAATAATAATCACGGCAATAACAATGATCCAATCAATAATAATCACGAGCATCAATAATAATCGCAAGAGCATCAATATTAATAATGATAATCGCAAGAGCATCAATAATGATAATTGCAAGTGCATCAATAATAATATAATAATAATAATCACCAGAGCATTAATAATAATCACCAGAGCATTAATAATAATCACCAGAGCATTAATAATAATCACCAGAGCATTAATAATAATCACCAGAGCATTAATAATAATCACAAGAGCATTAATAATAATCACAAGAGCATTAATAATAATAATAAGAGCATTAATAATAATAATCACGAGCCTTAATAATAATAATAATCACGAGCATTAATAATAATAATAATAATAATAATCACAAGAGCATTAATAATAATAATAATAATAATAATCACAAGAGCATTAATAATAATAATAATAATAATAATAATCACAAGAGCATTAATAATAATAATAATAATAATAATAATCACAAGAGCATTAATAATAATAATAATAATAATAATAATCACATTAATAATAATAATAATAATAATAATAATAATCACAAGAGCATTAATAATAATAATAATAATAATAATCACAAGAGCATTAATAATAATAATAATCCCAAGAGCAATAATAATAATAATAATAATAAGAGCATTAATAATAATAATAATAATCCCAAGAGCATTAATAATAATAATAATAATCCCAAGAGCATTAATAATAATAATAATAATAATCCCAAGAGCATTAATAATAATAATCCCAAGAGCATTAATAATAATAATCCCAAGAGCATTAATAATAATAATCCCAAGAGCATTAATAATAATAATCCCAAGAGCATTAATAATAATAATCCCAAGAGCATTAATAATAATAATCCCAAGAGCATTAATAATAATAATCCCAAGAGCATTAATAATAATAATAATAATCCCAAGAGCATTAATAATAATAATAATAATCCCAAGAGCATTAACAATAATCGCATTAAATTATTTCAGTAAATATTATGCAGTCAGGTTAAGTAAAAGTGACCCAAGTAAAATTATAATGTACACTATATGGTGTAGTAGGGCTAAAGTGAACCTATGGATTGTTTCTACTTTCAATATATGATGCAGAGCGTTTTATCTTTATGCATCTTATATACTGTCAAATAATGTAAGTCATATTGCATTTAATTCAGTCTTTACAACCAGCTCAATAAATTTAAATCCAGAATATCTCACACATACACACACACACACACACACACACACACAGTTGCAACTGTGCAAAAAACACAAATATTGTCATCTGATATATTTATCGTATCTTCACCAAATAAAAACAAAATATGCAAATACACGTGTCAGAAAACGAATCTTCGAACCTGTTGCACCCATTACCTTCATTGAGCATTTCTCTTGGCATATACTTGAAACTTATTCTTTTTTTTTCCTTTCCCATTACAGGGCATGATGATACTATGATTGCTGTTGGACTTGGTTATACATGCCACATGATTTTGATGCTGTCTCGTATTTTAAACTTGCCACTGCGTTACCCCGTTGAGTACAGGGGTTCTCGGTCCCAAATTCAGGACCATATTCACACCAAATTGACTGACAGAGAACGGAAGTAAGTCTCTTGGGTTCAACAATTTTATTAATAGATTTAATTTATTGTGTGTGTGAAGAAGGAAACCCACCAGCAGAAAACCAGCAACCTTTTTAATACCAATGTCACACCTGAGAGGGCCTGGCACAGAATCCCCAAGTTTTGGGTTCTGTAGTGCATATGCTACTCTCCACCTTAAAACTAGTATAATATATATATATATATATATATATATATATATATATATATATATATATATATATATATATAATATGAGAGTGGCCTGAACAATTATCAAAACTTTAATCTTAGAAAACCTAAGTACAGATGAAGATATAACAATAATAAGTCAAGTGGCAAATTATTCTGATTTATGTTAATCCTATAAATATAAATTTTTTAATAAACCAAAAAAACTTCAATGGTTTGATTTGATTGCCCAACACCAGATATATTGAACATTTGACCCTGATAAATGTTTCAACATGAAATTCTGGATTTGGTCCACATTGAATTTTTGTTGATGAACCAGCTTAAACCTCCACATATGGCTCTCAAAAAAAAATAAAAATAAAATAAATTGTCCACCCCTGCTCTAGATGATGGGCTTCTTTTTTTTTTTTTTTTTTTTTTTTCTTTTTTTTCCTACCTCACCTTTTCTATTTTTTGCTTTAAACGAAAAAAACAGGAATCATGAGAAAAGACTTTGTATTTGTTCACAAATGCTCGGTAAAATATTGCAGGAAGGCTTCTTTTGACATTTGCACGTGGGTGGCTAAGATGCAAAAATTGGACCCTGTACCTGGGCATACTAAGTGATTCTACCATTATAGTACAATGAAGGAATGCTGTCTGTTAACAGGAATTTTTTTATTTCATTATTTTATTTACTTTATTTTAATCTACTCTACTCTACGTTATTTACTCTACTTTACTTTACGTTATTTACTTTACTCTACTCTACTTTACTCTATTTTCAGCTTTCCCTTGTACAGTAAAGGAAAGAAGGACTTCTACTTTCAATACGGTGTTTTTCTTTTAAATAAGAATATAAGCCAGGTAAGAAGAGAAGTGTTTTTGTATAATTTTGTATTTTCCTCACTTTATAGAAACTAAGATAGATTTTAATATCTTTTAATACTGAACCAATTTTATCCTCCATCAGTATGGCTGATGCTAACCTTTAACAAAGCATTTTCTCACATTTTCTACTGACATGAAATGGAACAATTACCATAAATTGCAGTATACAAGTCTAGTTTTTGAACTTAACTTCTATTTTTGGAAAGATTTTTTGACTTATATGGAAGGGTATAAAATGAAAATTTTACCACAGATTTGTAAACAAGTCAGACAGCACTCCTAACAATTACTGTACAGTACAGCAGGCTGCCACATATATATTCTGTTAAAACTTGTGTTTAGTCAACATATTTGGCATATTAACACAGAAATTAATATAAAATCATAAAATAGTAGCACAATTTCATTATTCTATTAACACTACTTCACAGATTACGCCCAACAGCTGATGCACTAAGAGGTACGATATGTATGTAATCTGCATAATTTCATGATAGTAATGACAGTAATATTTTATAGGAATTGTTGATATTGTGGAGAGCCATGATCACCTGCGTCCTGAAGGGATGTAACGCATAAAAGATGTGGACTGGTGTGCTCCTTTTGGTTGTCATAATCACAATATTTTGACCCTGCAGCTTTCTTCATGCCTGTCTGTCGAAGTTTAAAACCTTCTCAAAAATTCAAACCAAACAATTTATTAAATCTACAGGGACAGATTCTTCTCCTTACAATTCTTATTCCTGTCTTAATAATAAATCAGACATGTCTTCATAGTCATATTAGCAGATGATCATTAAAAATGACTTAGAATCTATTAACTAAAGAAAGAAATGGCTTGTTAATTTCCATAACTTCAAAACAAAATTACTGTCTTTTAGTCATCTTAGAGGGTTTTTTTTTTTTTTTTTTCCATCAGTATGGCTGATGCTAATCTCCATGAGAGCAACTCATTGTGCTTTCTCAGCTTTGTGTTCTCCACTGGCATGAAATGGGCCAATTGTATTGAATCAATTACTAGGTCTGCTGCTATGAAGGTTGGTTCGCTGTGTCAGGCCAGATAATTTTTCTTGTCAGAATCCATCTTGCACGTTTATAAGTCTACCATTCTTTTGTGGATTGAATATTGTTCAGGTTCTTTGATGTATCTAAAGATTCTTGTGAGAACCCCAAGAAGAATCTGCAATATTATCTATACTGACCTGGCATCTCGGCTTCAATCGCTTTCCCACCACCGTAACAGGGCTTCCTTGTGCTTTTGCTGTAAATATTTTCATGGCAATTGTTTTGATTAACTTCCCTCTTTGGTACATCAATTTCACAAATTTAAGCACAGTACTAGATTGACAGCTAGGTCTCATCATTTTACTGTTAACATTACTAGTGTAAGTTCTATGCTGACAGTTTCTTCCTCCGCACTTGTACTAGTGGAACTCTCTTCTGTCTTCTTGCATTCCTATCAATTATGATCTTTTCAATCATCATCTATCTTTTTGAAGCCTGTTTTTTTTTTTATTTTTATTTTTTTATTTTATTGTCCTTTTTCTTCAGTAACGTTTTCTCATTTTATTTCACTCTCAGTAACCACCCTTCCATCTTAGTAGCTTTATCACCTTGCCTGAGGTCAACTGATGAAAATAAGGTGGTAGGGGGATAACTCATATCAGTTAATTCTCAGCAGTTTTATTCATCTTTTGTGTCAGTTTCTTTCACTGAACCAGTGGGTGGGTGGATGGTGTTTGGAATAAGAAATTAGAGAGCCAAGTTCAAATTCCCGTAGATCTGTTACATTCATTTATGCACAAATATTCTTGGGAAAGGTATGAATCTATCCCCTCCTCAAGCTATGGATTAAATAGTAGGATATGTATACTATTTACATTATTGGGACTATTGTTCTCATCTTTGTCGCCATATTTATCACAATATTTCAGCCGTTGTAGACTCTGGTCTTCTTCAGGTGGTTGGAATGTCGAACTGAACCTTTTATTTCGCTCACTGGGGTAGACTGTTCTAGTTCCACGTGCCATGTTTAATGGATGTCAGTTATCAGTTATCTCCTGTTAATTCCCCTCTCCAAGTTCTCCACTGCCTTAACTGGGTATTGAACTCACGCTGTTTGGGTCCTGTCACTGGATCTAACCAACACCTTTATCCACTGTGCCATGTGTCCTCGAGGATAACTGGCATCCATTAAACATAGAACAGTCTATCCCAGTGAGCGAAATAAAGGGTTCAGTTTGACATTCCAACAAACTGAAGAAGGTCGGAGCATACAACAGCCGAAATGTTGTGATAAATATGGTGACAAAGATGAGGACAATAGTCCGAATAATGTAAATAGTGTATATAATACCTCATCTCAGAAATATAGACAGATACAGTAGGATCTGCATCTGGAAAAACCATTGTTATTCTTAAAAATATTCAATATTCACTTGTGAACAAAAAACAAAGCTTATATACTCAAAAATATGTTTTGGCTTTAAATAACCCACAAATGGTTGATAAACCTTAAAAAAAAAAAAAAAAAAAATAATCAATCACAGTCATTATTTAACTGAACCAGAAAATGTGGCTTTTCAGCATAACTAGACTCAAGGATTGAACTGCCAGGAAGCTCTAAGCTTTAACCAACACTTTAATCTATTAGGCTATGGACAATTGAGTTAAAATTCTGAAACTTAAATTCAGGTGGTTAGTCTGTATGAGCATCCTGATTCAGCTGATGGAATTTCTTTGAATATCCTTTCTTTATCAGAGATGATTTTGTGGGTTGAAAAATTCAGCAGTTTGAACTTTTAAATTTAAAGTATTAATCAAATCATTTACAGTAAGTCATTTATCTGTGACACTATGATTGGAATACTTATATAGTAAAGGAAAGTGATTTTTATCTTGATCTCAAGTATTTCATGTTTTATGGCCAGCAGATAAAATCTTTGAAGTCAGGTCTTCTAAGTGGCATCCACTTGGCTCCAAGAAATGAAATAATTAAATTAAAAAAAAAAAAAAAAATTGGGGATCAAGTGATAATAAAGCCAGATATTGATTATTTCCAGTTGCTGGCCTATATTAACAGTCATAGTTCTAGTTCACCTTTGGTTGGTGACAGACTGCACTTATGTTGCTGCCCATTCAAGTTACCAGTCACATGCCATGTGGTGAAGAGCCAAGCTGTTAGTCTGACATGGCAGAAGTCAACCCAAGTGTCACCTATCTACCTACCCAGGCCGGGAAAGTGAAGCCCTAAATAAAAAAAGCTAAATAAATTAGAAATGGGGTTTGAGTCCTCCTTTCTCAGCATGGCGTTTATTTTCATCTTCTGCTACCTTGTGAATGTGCAATGGGCCTTCCCAGTTTTTGGTGCTCTCGACACAAACAAGAACGGAGATGCAACCTGGGGTAGTCATTAGATGGTCAGTGGAAAACTGGGTAATGGTCCCATTGTATGTTTATGTATCCAGGATCAACCCTCAGGACGATATTTTGCTTGTATATGTCTTTATTATAGATTTTTTATTAGTTTTTTGATTTTAGGGGCAGATCTGTTTGCATCCATGTCAGTTCATATATATGTGTTTCTTAATTTTGCAGCTGCGATGGTATTGTGGACTTGGAACAGCTGACCTTCGGTTAACTTTACCTAATCTCAAATCTCTCCTGGAACTTCGCTTAGGTGTTAGAAAGTAAGTTGTTCTTTCCATGTTTTTATTTGTTTTTGTGTTTAAAATATTCATCAAAGTTTGGATTGAATTTGTGGGCAATGAAGGAAAACTAAGAAAAATACAAGTCTATTTAGTGTTTGAAAATGCAATGTAAACCAAATAACGTTGTTATCAGTCTAAATATGTTGAAGAAATCACTGAACAAAACATTGTGATGCATGTTGTTCCAATAATTAAGGATGAACACAGATCAAGAAATAACATTGTTCTTGATCAATAAGGTTCATAGTCTTCAATAATAAAATGTCTCTTTACTTCATTGACATACAAGCTGTTTCAGTAATTAAGGACAGATACATAGGAAGATGAGCTGGGATCAAATATAGATTGGAATCTGACAGATTGATAAGATAAAGAACAAATAGGGCACGTTTATCACGTTTCATTTTTATTAAAACTTCATCAGAGATTGAGATATGGAGAAGAAGGAAAATTTGGTATTTTTACTTTTGTGTTAGATTTTTATTTGTTAAATTCAAATGCATTCAACTCTTTTAAAACAATGTTAGCATAATTTGTTGCATTCTGAATTCAAGAAGAGATGCCGCCAGTCCCAGAAATTGTCTGACAGCCATGACAGGGTTCTCCTGCTTGTGTAACATGGTGCAGACTCCTGTTGCCAGACATAGGGTCCTCCAGCAGCCAATAACTTGACCTATGCACTGTCTTTAGATTGACACCCAAACTCTCTGAAATGTTTGTATTGGAGCTTCTGGTGCGAATGTCAAGAAGTATAGCATGTCATTTCCAAATTTCTGGCAGTGAATTACATTATGGTGCTCTTTTTCTCACAGATGGTGCCCAACTGACCCTACTATACTGTGCAGTCAACAAAATCAGAAACCAACAATATTGCATGCACAGAATTAAGAATATAAAATGGTGACAATTTACCCATAGCACCCTGTGTGTGTTTTTTTTTTTTTTCCCCTGTTTTCTTGAGTGGTATTTTATTTTTTATCCATTTTGTTGGTGTTTTTTTTGGGGGGGGTCTGTTTTGTATGTCTTCTTTTTTTTTTTTTTTTTTTTTTTTTTTCCCCGAGTTGTTTTTTTTTATATGTATTTATTTTTTTATTTTCTTCTAGTGAACAAGCAATGCATCGTCTAAGTCCAGTTCCATCAAACATCCATCAGGATTCGACATCTCCTTCTGGTCAGATGTTGCTTGTTGATTCTGCTGCTGGGGCTGTAATATGTGAGATTGATGAGTTCCACGGTGTGGTAGATGGATCCTCCAAACTGTCCCCTGAGGCCGCAACGGAGCTGGCCACAGAAGCCACTTCTGAGCTTCCGTCTCCCTCGGTGCCAAACAGTGCTGTATCAGTTACTGAAGATATGTTTGAAGGGACAGATGACCACTTCTTTCGGATACAGAGGCCAGTCTCCAAAGTCTTCAGTTTAAGCAATGAAAGTTTCTTGAACACGGTCACCTGTGACTCTGCTGACACAGATCACAACCAAAGCACTGGTAGTAGTAGTGGCGATGTCTCAAAGGACAATGCGAAGCTAATGTCAACCTGGTTGAAAAAGGTCTCTCCCGACCCGGACTCCCCTTCCTCAATTCGTTCAGCTGGTTCAAGTCCAAAGCTACCGTACAGAAGCTCTGCTAGTTCTTTACAACCCAAGCTGATACGGCCAGTTTTGCTTCGGGAGACGAGCAGCGATAGTGCTATGTCACTCCTTCACTCTTCCTCTTCTCCCCCTAAACATCACCACCACCCCCAACATTCTGCTTCTTCTTCGTCTCTCCCCCAAAATTCTAAGTCTCAATCTCTCTCTCAACAACCTCTCTCGCAAGAGGAAGATCCTGAACTCCATTCGACTCTGTCAGCTGCAATACTTGCCGAGTCTTCACAGAGTTATTGGTTGCATAGACCTGATAATGTTTGTAATAGTCAAATTCATCGGAACAATGACTGTTGTGACGGTTTAAATTCTATTTGATGCTGCAGATGTAAAGATGAAAAAACGAAAAAGATAATATATTGAAAAAAAATCTGCATAAAAATGTGATACAACATACTTCTTTCTCTTTTTTTTTTTCCTTTTTTCTATTCAGGTGCCCACTCTCTTTTTTCCTTTATTCTTTTTCTCTCTCCTCCGCTACTCTCTCTCTCTCCCATTAATATGATTCGGTTGTTCAGAAACAAAAATAGACAAAAATTTTTCCCCCCTTCAATTTAGGAATCACTAAAATCGTGAAAAATTTAAAATGAAGGCGAGAAAATAAAATTGTTGACAATCCAGAAATGACTGGTACTCAACATGCACTAGATGAAGATTTCAGAAGGAATAATTGTTCAGATGTTGGTTGTGAAATGTTTGGCAAGTTTGGTTCTTCTCTCAGGTGCCAATTGTATGAAAGTGCCGTCCTTTCTTTTGCTATTTGGGATTGGATCCCGTTTCGAGCAAAACTAAGGACATTCTGTCATGCATTCCAGCTTTTGTTAATATTGTCTAGGGCCAATATTTCCAATCAATAAAAACCTTTCAAAAAAATTCTTTTTATTTACTTTCACCTCCACCCCTTCCTGCTACTTTTTCTTTTTTTTTTCTTTTCTTTTAAGGAAATATGCATCAAGCAACAAAAATGATTTTTTTTTTTTTTTTTTTTTTATTTGTTATTTAAATTCATTAACTAAAAAAATAAAATTTGGAATTTAATTTCTTTTCTTTTTTTATTTCTTTTCTGTTTTTTAATTAGCAATTTTTATAATTTTTTTTTCTTTCATATCTTTTTATTTATTTATTTTTTTTTTTTTCCAAGGAAAAGTGAAAAAAAAAAAATTTAATTTCAGGTCTTTGCAGAATATTTTGGAAGTGTAATGTCAATTTTCTGATTTCATGAAAATTTTGTTTTTTATATATATATATATATATATATATATATATATATATATATATATATATATATATATATATATATAATTAATGTAAGTAATAGGTTTGTCATTTAGCTGATTGATGTTACCTTCAGCTCCCAACTCCAGGGTTTTGTAGACTGGCCCTGCAAGGATTACACCATCCACTCGTGAGGGGCGGGGTATCAGCACTTGACTGCTTATACTTCTCGATTTTTCTTTTTTTTAAATGCACTTTTAATTGGTGCAAATTTGTTTTTTTTTTTTTTTTTTGTTTTGTTTTGTGTCTGCATGATTTGTGCATTTGTGCCCATCTGCACGGATGTGAATACATGTAGTGTCGTCATTATTTGTGCATTTAGTTGTTTTTGTTTTTTTTTCACTTTACTCACCCCTTGATCTTTATTATATATATATATATATATATATATATGATTTTTAAATTTAACCCTTTTTAGTTCTTACAAGTTTCACATACTTACAATCCGTCCGTGAATGTGAATGCAATTGGATAGTAATTTTTAATGAATACAAAGGGAATGAGGGTGGTTCACTCTAATGTGTATAGTATGGTAGATCTTGACTGTGAAGGTTAGAATGTCTTAGTTCCTCCAATTCTGTTTCAATACACAGTGTTAACACCAGTCACATGATCAGCTGGAGATGCTAGGAATCCACAACTTTCTCCAAACGTCCAGTAGTATCAAGGGCATTAACTCTTTGTTTATTCTGTGGCCAGTTTTAATTTATTCAACCGGGTTTCTTCTGCTACATTAATATTTCTGATTTAGGTTGCATAAAATTTGAAATTTTGCCCTAATACTCTTCTGGTTTATGAACATTTATATCATTGAAATCAAAAAGAAAAAAAAAAAAGAAAAGCTTAGATATAATTGGTATGCATGGATGATTAAAACTTAAAACTATTCTATAACTTTTTAAAATCACCTCTCCATACATTTTTTTTTTTTTTTTTTTTTTCCTAAAACAATTCCAACGAGATTTAATGCAGTTGAAACTTCATAATTCACATCCAATAATGGAAGGAAGCTTGAAATGTTTTTTCTTTTCTTTTTTTTTAAATGCCATGTCTCTTCATGGCTCTCCAGATTCTTTTTCTTTATTATCTCTGAATTGTCATGACATCTTGACAAAGATAGTTGAGTGGTTACCCTCTTCAGTTTGAATTTTAACATTTTCCTTTTCTTCAAGGCATAGGAGATCATGCCTCTTCGCAGATTTCTTTATTATCTGTGAATTGCAATGACATCTTTGGAAATATAGCAGATTGCTCTCTCATTGCCCGCTCCACAGTTTGGAATTCAGTGTTCTCCTTTTCTTCTGGACATAAATGATCATGGCTCTACACATATTCTTTTTCTTTATTATTTGTGATTATATACGCTATCACATAAGGCTGCAGAGCCTGGTTTTCTGTCATGAGCCAAGTACTTTCAGTGTCAATAATCATGGCTCTCCATGGATTCCTTTTCTTTATTATCTGTTGTCATGATTTCTTGCATTCATAGTTTAGAATTCTGAATTTTCCTTCTTTACAATTGGTTACCATCCAAAGTGAGAATGCCCTGTCTATGCTGTTATTTTACTTCTAACTGGGAGCAGAGGGAATTTCATACTTTTTGTGAGGAAATTTGTACAAAGTGAATGCAACCAACAAAACAGGGATTTGAACTTTGATCACCAATTCCATTCTCTGATATCCATTAAAGTCCACTTTTATTATACAAGGGTTTTTTGTTTTTTATATATATATATATATATATTTCCCCAAAATAACTGGATTGTTTTTTGTTTTTTTTAAATGGCTTTGAACCATTTAAAAAATGTCTGTGATAACGATATAATGCCTATATAGTGGTGGGGTTCATATTCTATGTAGGAAGACTATTTCTTTTTAATTGATCTTTTTTTTTTTTTTTTTTTCTTTAAGATTTCAATATCTTTGTCAATATTGAAATATCTTTTTTATTTTTTTATTTGTTTGTTGAATACAGGTGATTTTTGGGGGGAGGGGGTTGTGAATATAGTTCTTTTTTTTTGTGAATATAGGTTGTTTTTTTTTTTTTTTTTTTTTTTTTTTTTTGTGAATATAGGTTTGTTTTTTCTTCCTTTTTTGTGAATATAGGTTTGTTTTTGTTGAAAATAGTTTGTTTTTTTTTTTTTTTTTTTTTGCAAATATAGGTTTTAATGTCACCGCCTAACAAAGGTGGAAGATATAGTAATTATAAAGAAAAATGCATGAAATGAAAATGTTACTAACAGGTAAACAAAAAAACCTATGAAAAAAAAGAACATTATATGGTTGACTAAAAACTTAAAAAACGGAAGTTAATCTTCCAATGTCATAACTCACAAAATTTCTAACCCCCCACCCCTTGGTACTTTCAGTTTAACCCCTCTGAAGAACTCTAATGACTTAGTAAATAAAACCTACAATACAGATATGACAAATTTATAACAATGTTATATCCACATTCTCTGTAGACTAAATATCGCCATTAATAAAGATTTTTTTTTTATAAAGGAAAAAAGTGAAACACAAATTTACTTCAACCATAATATATATAATTGTTGATAACCTATAAAAATCAAAATTCACAATTATAAACAGGAGTATTAAAATATTCACAGAATGGTTTTTCTATATAAATTAGACACGTGAAACTAACATCCAACTCATTCCAAATCTTCTGCACTTTGAAATGTTCATATTGGAACTTCTGGCATGAATGCCAAGTAATACAACATGTTTCCAAATTTTCTGTGAACTGAATTGTGTCATGGTGCTCTTTTACGCACAGAGACGGTGCCCAACTGATCCTACTATATTGTGCAGTTGATAAAATCAAAAACAAACAATGCACATGTGAAAAATTAAAAATATAAAATGGCGATAGTTTACCCATCACACCCTGTATATAATTTTTTACATGAAATGATTTTTAAGAACAATTAAAGAACAGAAAATAGTGTTATTGAAATCATAGATCATGTGATGCTTATTTGATGATGTCATTACTTCAAGTCAAATTTCATTTTGTCAATCCCTTGAAGCCAAGTCAACTGGGCACTGCAATGGCCACACTTTGGTCAACATCGACCTGCCAGCTAAACTGTGAGGGTAGTTGTAAGGTTTTCCTGATCCAATTGGTGAAGGGGAACGCCTCTCCCCAACCTACCTGTGCCAAGTGGTGATCGGCCAGTTGCCAGCCTTTGTGTTGGAGCTGTGCCTCAGAGGTCAACACCTTTACCAGTGGACAGAGGAACTTCTGAGAAAAGGGGCAGGGTAACCTCGACATCCCTGATGCAAAAGGAAACAACAATCCATTGCACTATTTTGCCTTGAATGTCACCACGAACCACAATTACATCAGAAATAGGAGGAATGGTGACCACAACATTACAAAATGCATAAAGTGAATGAATGAAAGAACAGGAGATAGTTTCTGATGTCATAGGTCATGTGATGCTTATTTGATGATGTCATTACTTCAAATCAAATTTCATTTTGTCAATCCCTTGCAGCCAAGGACCTATGATCTATTTTCGTTTCTTCCCAAAATACAGAAGAAAATTCAGCAACCAAAAAGTGAGTGAAAGACTATATCTTCTAGTTAATACTTGAATGTTACCATATTGCCAGCAAGTATTTTCCTTACTTTTTGATACAATTCCACAATTCAGTTGTCCCTTTTTAAAAAAAAAAAAAAATTGATCAGCAGATTTGGCTTTTATGAAAATGTCATTAATTTAAAAAAGCAAAAAATAATCTGTTTTTTAACAAAAATATTAAAAAAAAAAAACTATCAAATTTTCTATTTAATATTAAAAAGGTATTTTCTAACTTGCTTGATAAATACTGTTTTGTGTGGACCATGGCCAGTGCAAGTGTCTTGTGGGCCCCACAAAATTTACAATACAGGGCCCCTACTCTACTATTTTCATAAGATAGTATTAATATAGTGGATCATATGCAATATAGGTGAACAATTCAAATAGAAAAATTGAAAATAAATACAATGCATCTAAATACAAATTAGAGACATGTCATAATAGATCATTACATCTGAAATAAATACGCAATGTTTTGCTGCAACTTTTAACATAACTTTAAGAGATTTTTCTTGTTGAAAAATTAAATAATTTTAACACATTAAACATTGTTACATTATGGATAAAAATTAATGAATAATGAAAATGAATTTTATATCATGTTTCTTTCAAGACAGCATGAGCAAATGTATTCACT